GGACGGACTCCACCCCTCGCACAAGCCACGCCGGTCCCGCCCCCCAGGCACGCTGAGGTGGCAACTGACTCTAGGCATGGTGGCCCACACCTGTAATCGCAGCGCTGGGGAGCCTGAAAACAGGAGGATCACTATGAGTCTGAGCTGCGCAGTTAGACCCTACAACAAATACAAAAAAGGGGGGAGGGGCCGGCTAGATAGCTCAGCGGACTAAAGTGTCTGCTTGGACAGTTGCAGGGGCCGGGGGTTTGTGCCGGCCCCACCACCAGGGCACAGCGATTAAGACTAGGCATGTTGGCACATGCCTGTAATTCCAGCGCTTGGGAGGCTGAAAACAGGAGAATCGCTGAGTCCAATCTACATAGTGAAACCCTGTAGACCCTGTCCTAAATACATAAATAATAAAAAATAAACAAAAATAAATGTGGGCTGCCTCGCACCTGTGCTGGCCCACATCTGTAGCAACATTTGGGAGGCTGAGGCAAAAAATCTGCCACAAGTAGGAAGCCAGCCTCAGCTATAAAGAGAGTTCAAGACCAGCCTAAACTATATAGTGAGATCTTCTCCAAAAAAAAAAAAAAAAAAAAAACCACTACAATATTAAATATAAAATTGCAAAAATACTTCATACTTTTTAAATGCAGCTCATGCTGAGTAGTAGGAGGGTGCTTCTCTCTTGCCCGGCTCTGCCCAGGAGGTTGCCTTTCGTCTGCCCTGCTGTATGCACTACCTGCCTGAAGACCATAGCATCTAAACTGCCAGACCGACTAGAGACTGCCCCACATTAGCAATGAAATGTTGCCAGTGACACGTCCGGGTGGAAGAAAAGTGGTATCAATAAGGCCTGGCTTTCTCTTGACTCCAAGCAGCCCACCGGTGGGGGTGCACACAGCCCCCAGGCAAGGAGGGGCAACTGTAACCCTCTCCCCAGGGCTGGTGCCCAAAAGGCAGGAGCACAGACCCCAGCCGCACTGGCCGCCACACTGACCCGGCAGGCCTGCCACCCACCTCATGACGCTCACACTCTGGCCCTTTCTTCACCCAGAAGGCAGCAGGGGAAGATGTCAGAGTGCTAATGCTCCGTCTTGCCTTCCCATTCAGGTGTCCCAGCGGCTCCGCATTCCAACACTCACGCAGGCTGCAGGGCCAGCTGGGAACCAGGCTGGGCCACCCTCCAGCTGGGGGCAGACAAAGCCGGCGCCCCTGTCTTCTCTGACCGCTGCCAGCCTTGGGCATCCTCGAGCGCTGCCCCACACTGCTTCCAGCCTCTTGGGTCCTAGAGTGCTTCAGCAGTGAGGCTCAGGTCCCCTCCTTGAAGCTATCCTCTGGACACAGCAGCTGCCTGCTCCTTCTCCTCGGGGCCCCACCAGCTTCCCCTAAGCTGAGCCCTGGGAAGGGCTCAGCTTGTCTTGCAAATATAACTCAGTTGACATCACCAAGATTCCCAGTGCGTGCAGAACACACTGACTTGTGGGAGGGCTTTGCTAAGCAGGGGTAGAGGCCGTGACTTCTGACAAGAAAAGCAGTTTAGCCGCTCCCACAGGAGGCAGACTCAACTCCCACCACCCACTTGGCCTTCCAAGGAAAAGCCCGCGCAGCCCGGGCCAAAGGCCCAGAAACACAGCTTTCCTGGCCTTCTGCACTGCACACTTGACCTGGGCAGCCGCCCAGCCGCTTTCTCACCCCACGACCGACGCACTGTACCCCGGGTCTGTCCCGCCACTCACTGTCGTGCCCAGGTGCCCACCGTTGTCTTCTCTGTACATGGCAGCTCGGCCCAGCTCTATGCCCCAACGGGCTGCTCCTGATACCTTTTCCACTCTGGCAAAGGCTCACGGCCCGTGTTGACCTTTCCAGCAGCAGCAACCCAGGCGTGCAGGTCAGGCTGCGGGGTACCCTCCATCACCAGCACCTCCGGGAACCATCGCGTCCACACAGGACTCCAGCCAGCAGCTTCCTAACCAGCTTCTCCACTGGCTAGGGTCACGGGCACACATGCTGTGTGTGGCACACACAGCCACTTCACACACACACACACACCCCCTCTGGCTTCTGCCCAAGCTCCCTCTACTCCTGTGCCACACTCACCTGGAGCCCAGCTGGCCACTACATCTGCCCTCACCTATGCAGGCTGCCACCATCTGCTCTTACCCAGGGGGTGACCACACATGTCCAGTCCCATCTGACTCCAGGTATGAAACCTCGGAGCCACCTTTTTTTCATTTGTGTATTTGGTACAGGGTTTCACTACGCAGATCGACTTGTGATCCTCCTGTTTTCAGCCTCCCCAGCATTGAGATCACAGGCATGCACCACCATGCCTGGTACATCACGAAGGTGCACTCAGTGCAGCATGCAGGGCTGGGGATTGAACCCAGGTCCCTGCACTGCCAAAGCAGGCGCTTAGTCTGAACTATCTCGCAGGCCTGAAGCCACCTTCTTAAAATGCACATCTAATTGTTCAAAATCCTTGAAGTTCCTAGGTGCTACTCACTTTAGAGAAAGCACATCCACAAACACAATCATAAACCACCCACAACCCCACCCTGAGGAGGAAACCACTTCACCTGGCAGCATCCTTTTAACATTTTTGTGAAAAAATATTGGTCTTTTTCCAAACATGGGTGTCCATGTAACTAACGGTACATTACTTACACAAAAGCTTAAGACCTTTCTCTTTCAAAGCCCCTACGATTACTCCACTACACAATGTATACAGGTGAGTGTACTCCAAAAGCCCTACCAAAAAAGCAAAATCTAGGCTGCAGGGCTGGGGAGGTAGTTTGGCAGTCGAAGCACCTGCCTGGCAAGCGCAAGAACCCGGGCTTGATCCCCAGTACCGCATGCTGTGCTGGCCTTGGAGCCCAGCGTGCACTGTGCCAGCCACCCTAACAGCTAGTGGCGTACCCCTAGAGTCCCGGCACTGGGGAGTTAGCAAAGACAGGAAGATCAGAGTCCAAGCTGCATAGCATGAGCCTGTACCAAACAAGTAAATAAAGGACGTTTTAAAAAATTTAAAAACCAGGCTGCAGGGAAAAAAAGTCATCTCTGGCCTCTGCCCCCTGCCTCACCTGGGCTTGTTGCTACCCACAGTTTAACTATCTCAACTTCCATGAACAGCTGAGCCCACCTGTCGCTCTCGTGGAAAAGACTGACGCTGAACTGAGATGAGTGTGCTGTACCCACCCAGAGGCTGCTGCCAGTTCCCAGGTTTGGGGCCTGCCTGGGCCAACAGGCAAGGACTGTCCCAATAGGAAACTGAAGGGTGCAGACAGCTCAGTGTGAGGGCCCGTGTTCACCTTCAAGGGCAGAGATCCAAGAAGCCCCAAACTCTCTCAACCCCACCCACCACCTCCCTCCAAAGATCACCTTCCAACACGTCTAGGCCTCCGCTTCATCTCAGCCATCCCACAAGCTCTGACATGAAAGCCCTCACACCCAGCAAGCTTAAGGGCACCCAAGCCTCACGCCAGCCCAGCTCTGCACCAACACCACCTGACTCCAGGTATGAAACCTCGGAGCCACCAAATGCCTCGCCTGGTGCCAGTCCTCCTGGTAAGCAGGGCCCCTCCATCACAGGACCCTGTTAAGATGCCGTCCCCCAGCTTCCCACTCCACCAGGTGCCACCCACCCTTCAGAGTAAGATTCATCTCAGGTTATGGGGCACCTAAGAGCCACAGACCAGGCAGGCCTCAGCCCTGCCACCCAAGCCCAGCCTTGCGCCACCTCGGTGCAACCGCTCTACCCATGCAGGTCCCACTCACAGCACACACCCAGGGGTAGCAGCTGTCATGGCACACTACCTGGGCAATCATTCCTGGCACTCACACTCATCCTGCTGTTGCAGGCTGAAACCAGCGAAAGCCACAAGGACTCCTGCACCAGGCAGAATTGGGCCAAGGCAGGGAGGAGCCAAGTGAGGTGGCACCAACCCTGTGAGCCCAGCAGAGGGCTAAGCAGGAGGACTCCAAGTTCAAGGCCAGCCTGGGCAATTTAGCAAGAGCCAGTCTCTAAACTAAATTTGAAAAGGCAGGGGAAGTAATCCCAAGGGACGGCCCTCATTCAACCTCCAATGCCAGGAAGAGAAAGGACTGGGGAAAAGGAACTGGGACAAGCGCCTTGCCGGCCCAGCAGGCAGAGCTGCGTCTCTCTCCAGACAGGTCTCTGGCAGGAAAGAGGGGGCAAGGCGCCCTGCTCAAGGGGCCAGGTATAGTGGAACTCACAAGCATGCACACAGCAGCCTGCATCACCAAATTAAGAAAACCATTCCTTTGAATGTAAGACAGGTTTCTTTTATTAGTTTTTCCTAGACTTGTCTCCTGTTTAATGTTTTCCTCAGCGTAAGAATGTGACCTGGAGTTTTAACAAATCAACCCGGGTGAGGAACCTGGATAAACGCTGGCCCGAGCAGCCACCAGGTCCCACTCTCTCTGGCCTCCACATCTGTCTGGCCTTACAACCTGGCTACTCAAGGCAAGCAGATTATGTCACCTTATCCCCGGTTTTAACTTTAAATCTTTTTTTTTTTTTTTAATTAACGTATTTAGTACAGGGTCTCACTACGTAACTGGACTCGTAATGATTCTCCTGCTTTCAGCCTCCCAAGTGCTGGGATTACAGGCGCACGCCACCACGCCCAGCCTTAACTTATAAATTTCAAATTCATCCCCATCCCAACACCCAGACCCTTCCCCACACACACACGCACACACAAATACCTAAAAGAAATGGCCATTAATGACTAGGTTGTTGCGTAAGAGTTGGCTTAACCCTGCAGCCAGTGCATCAGATACTAGCTTCACAGGGGCCAGCTGGGATGCCTGAAGCGCAGGGAGGAACAGGGAAAGGACGTGGGAGGAGCAGGCCACGATCCTGGGGCTTCCAGGGCAGCTCCTGCCTCGCCACGCAGCATACACTCACCAAGGAATGCTCTCTACAGCGCTGGAGAGCTGCACATTCTGAAAGCTTCTGCGCAGACATGGACAGAGACTTATGGTAACTATGCAAGGTATAATCTTATTTGGAACAACATACGCCAAAACTAACAGAGACACACTGTTACATAGACTCCATTATTACAAATGTCCAAAATAAAACCAACAAAGTTTGCCACGTTTCTAAAATAAGGCAGGTACCACATCTGGCCTCTAATACAGGCTTCCCTTGAAGTTCCCTAAAAGCCTCACCCCCCTCTCTCCATCCATGCTGCCCTGAGAGCAGCCAGGGGGATGCAGTTAAGAACACGCTGCGGCTGCACCTGCACCTCCAGGCACATTTCTGTAACACTAACTTCAGGCTCGTCCAGTACAATCCAGTGTATCTTAGTATTTTTATGCTCTGTCAACTGTTTTAACACAAACTGACAGGTTGGTGACAGATATTAACAATACGACGGTGAGTGAGCTGAAAAGGAGTTAAGTCTCATCCCAAGAGTCTGAGCCACACCTCAAGCTTGCACAGAGCATCCCGCCTCAATAAGCAGCCAGGACGCTGACTTTACCCCATACGGAACAGGGATGACTCCTCAGTACATTTCCCATGCCTGTAACAAAAGCGTATCTACCCAACTCTAACCTTATGAAAAGTACTCAGACCTTCATTTCAGGGCATAAGTACACGCATCTCAAGTCAGGAAGCACCTCCAGGTCCTAAAGATCCATTTATATCTAGCTGGGGGGAAGTGGGGGTACGTTCCCAAGAGCAGCTTGCAGCACTCTCAGTGGGTACTCCTTGGGGACAGAGGGCAGGGCTTAGGCAGGGAGGAGCTGAACCGTAAAGACAGGGTGGCCTCCGCTGCTCTGCTGTGCTCGCCCACGCCAGGCCGCACTGTGCCCTCACAAACAGAGGGAACCCCAATCCACCCACACCAGGCAGGAAGCCCTTTGGGCGAGTGCCACAACAGAGTGCAAAGCACATTTAGAACTCCTGGTACACACGTCACAATGAAAAGCCTGTCTCGTAACCAAGTTCAGCTCTGCCTATAGTTCAACTTTCCAAAACACATGTACTGTTGTAGAACATGATTAAACATAAAAGGAATGAAGCGTAAGCTCAGTAAGACTACCTGGGCTTCTAAATAGTACCATTATGAAAAAGATACAATGCACTTCATTTCTGTACCTAACTATTTAGAAATCAAAATGCTCCATACATTACCTATACCCCCACCCCCCAAATTCCCTAAAAATTGACTAAGAAATCTCCAGCATTCACTTGCTCTAGTTGATATTTAGAACAAAGTTGACAACTTAAAGCTTTATAACAGTCTGTTTTAATATAAACAAGTGTTGGAATCAATCAATGTCCATTTCTGGAAGCTTCTTGTCCGAATCCGAAGGCACAGCTGTGTCTGCACCCTGCTCGGCAGCCTGCGGGCCTGGGCTGTCTCCTTGGCCATCCACTGGTCCATTCTGCTCAGCAGTTTTTTGCTCCTCTTTTGGAGGTTCCACTTTGGGCTTGGGCTTTGAAATTATAGGGTTACAGATACTCGTCAGCTCCTAGAAGGGTGAAAGGAAACTGTTGGTTCTTGTGAATGAACACATTTCACAGATGCATGCTAAACACGAGTTCGCCCTTCCTCATAGGCCCCACACTACACTGGAAGCTCAGGTGCGACAGGAAATTCCCTCCTGAAATCCACCATCAGGCTACCACGAGCGACAAAACTGACAAGAAAAGACTGCTACAAATGACCTTCATTTTAGCTTCTATTTCCTTTGTCTTGACAACGGGATCCACCGTCAGGCTCTGCTTGCTCTGCAGGTTCAGCTTGTTATTCATCCACTCCATTGCCTCGTTCGTGCTTTTTTCCACCTTTGCCACATCAGCCGCATCTAAGTGATCATACTGGTCCTCCTAGGAGCAGCAGAAGTCAGACAAGGGTCAGGAACAATCCTCTGCCAATACTGTCTAGTTCTCTACCTTGTTCCCAAATGTTACAACTTTCAAACCATGAAGCACCCTTAGCCTAACCGTCCAGGTAGACAGTAAATGTTCATCTGGGTAAAGCCGTTAAACACTGAAAGGAAACAATGCCTTTAGAACACTCGGGAAATCAGGCACGGAGGTGCACCCCTGTCATCCCAGCACTTAGGAGGCTGAGGCAACAGGATCACCCTTAGTTCCAGGCCAGCCTGAACTACATATCAGGAGCCTGTCTCAGAGAGAGAACCCTGAAGGAGGGCAGAAGAGTACAGTGGTGGCACACCTGCCTGGCATACACACAGTCCTACATTCAATACCCAGCACAACCAAAAATTGTAACAGTGACCCAGAAAACAGTGGAACCCGACTATGAAGCCAGACTTTTCAGGGTGAATCCCAGTCTTCCAACTTAGTAGCTAGCACTGGGTCTAACTTAAAGAAACTGAGATCTAAAGGAGTTAGAAGTACTTACCAATCTATTCCTACTTCACAAAGCTACTTTTCCCACTGAATGAGATGGAGTATTTATGGAGAGTACATCCTGTGATACTTCAATACTGCTAAGTAATTTACTGATGGGACAGTATTAAACCCACAAACCAAACCAAATCACAAGCTGTTGTGTTTTGCCAAAGCCCAGCATAGAGCGTGCTAGGTCTAACTTGGAGGAAGCATTTCACTGCAAGGGAATTTAGCAGTATTGCTCCTGCTCAGATTCTATTAAATACAAGTAGCAAATCCCATGTTTCTTAGTAAAATTTTATAAACCCTTACGCACACATTAGTTATCATTCAAAATGAAAACATTAAACAGTTAATGAGAACTGAGATGCTATGTAAATGTCTCAAAACTTAACTCTATCAAAATGAGAGGTAAAAAATAAATATGTACCTTATTTTTGAAAGAGCTGATGACTTTCATATACTGCTGGATTTGTTTCCCCAGTTCTTCAAATAACTTCGGTCTTTCTTTAGATTCCTGGAACCGGATCTTAATAGGCTGACCTAAACTCTTAACAGGGAAGAGAAGATACAGGTTCTTCACCGAGTACCTTAACTATCAGAGCAGTACTGTTTCTACTATGACTGAGACCGTGGATTACAGCACATCAGTCATCCTTGGTACACACACATTCCCCTGGCCCTGGAAATGCAACAGGCACCGCCACACGGAGGCCTGAGGCACAGCGGCATGTATCATCTGAGCGCACCTCTCCAGGGATGCACAACTAGAACTTACTTTCCTCAACTAGCACAGAGAGACAATCCCTAATACAGACAGGTGATACTAAAATACAGTATACAAAAATAAAAAATAAAGTATACACACTAAAAGTCTATAATTTTTAAACAGCACCCAAATCTACTGAGGCCCTACATACAGATCTACACTGAATGTTAACCATCACCACAGAGATGAAAATCAGCAAAACCCTTACTGAGAGAAAAACCCTGCAGGACAGATGATAAAGTTGCTTCGTGAAGTGAGGAGAGAAGGAGCCATGGACAGAGGGCCACAGACCCGGGCTGAGGAGACACACCAGAACATGTGCAGCCTTACCTGAATCCTGATTGAAACAAACTAAAAAACAGTAATCATCACTTGTGAAAAATGGAACTTGAAACCTAAATACTATGGTGATATTAAGGGTGATTTTAGGTATGAGAAAGGTACCAAAATTAGCTCAAACATAACACAAAGGGCTTGCTTCAACTGGGAATGGAAAGAACAGATAAAAATAAACTGCCCCTAAGCGCAGAAGCTCCTGGTCTCTGCTTTCATGTCTGACAGCTTTCAGGAGACAAAACCAGGAAGGAACACATGGGGACTGTGCCCAGAGCGTCACAAGCGCCCCATGCCACGGGAAACCAAGCAAGGCAGGGCCAGAGCTGAGGGAGAAGCTCGCTGTGGTGCACAGGCATGTTTGTGCAAACATGAGGCCTCATTTTGGGTAACTGTTTGAACCTTACCCTAAGGTTTAATAACCCAATCCTTGAACACAAACAGGACCAAAGGGGCCTTTGGGACAGGACTGTACTTTCCCATCTTCTCATCTACGTATTTCTCATTCAATGAAACACTGCTCTTCAGCTTCACACGAACAGTCACGCAGGCAGCACCAGTGGGTCTGGCTGGTGTGAGGTGCGAAGTCATAAAGGAACAGTTCTTCAAACACTATTTTCAGTTTGTGCTCTTTAACTTGACATAAAACTTCTTCCCAATATTGAGCTACTATGCTTGTAAGATACAGCAATTTATGATAACACTGCTCTCAAGAGCCACTTACTTTTAATTCGGCCAATTTATCTACATAAACTTGCTTTGGCTGATCTTCTCCATCTTCATACAACCAGTTTTCAGTATCTTCTAGTTTCAAGGTAAAACTATTATGATCCTAAAGATAAAGAAACTGCTGTAATTAAGTCAGTCAAAAAAACATGAATCGGGGGCCGGGGAGATGGCTCAGTGGAATAAGCGTTTCCCTGGCAAGCGCAAGGGCCCGAGTTCAATCCCCGGTTCCACAAAAAAAAAAAAAAAAGGGACGCAGAAACACTGCACTGCAATAATGAAATACAAGTATAGGGGCTGGGGAGATAGCTCAGTAGAAAAAGTGCTTGCCTGACAAGCACAAGGGTCTAAGTTCAATCCCTGGTTCCAAAAAAAAAAATACAAGTATGTAAAACTTTCTCAAAAAAAAAGTACAGGGATGGTGACACATGCCTGCAATCCCAGCACACAGGAGGCTGATGCAAGAGGACAGGTGTGAGTTCTAGGTCAACCTAGGCTACATAAGGCATTCAAGGCCAGCCTACACTATATAGGAAGACCCCATCTCAAAAAATCCAAACCTAGGGGAGATGGCTCAGCAGAATAAGCGCTTGCCTGGCAAGCTCAGGGTCCTGAGTTCAATCCCCGGTCCCCACCCCTCAAAAAAAAATCCAAAAAATTTTAAGTATTTTTGTACTCTCCTTCCCCCAAAATAAGAACACAAGAAGCCCTAGAATAATTTTTCAGAGGAGCCGGGGAGATAAATCAGTTAAATAAGCACTTGCCTGCCTTAGTTCAATCCCTGGTTCCGCAAATAAATTTATTTTCAGGATGCTTGTAATAAGTTCTACCTCAAAGTAAGCCTCAATTAAAATCATCAGCCAGTCAGCTGAATTTATTTATGTATTTGGTACAGGGTCCCACTACAAAGCTCAGACTCATAGTGATCCTCTTGTTTTCAGCCTCACCAGCACTGGCATTACAGGCGTGCACCACCATGCCTGGACTCATTCTCAGGCTCAGTGTGCCCCGGGGGCTGGGCCAGCACAGCATGTGGGATGACTGGGGAATCGATGCCTGGTCCCTGTGCTTGTCTAAGCAGGCACTTAGTTCACTGAGCTATCTCACCAGCCCTAGTCAGCTGCATTTTGTATGTCCTTCACCTCACACATAATGAGTTACAAAATAGTAATACAAACACGTAAGTTAAATATGACATTAATATTAAAAATAAATAATATAAATTCTAAATAAGTATTTGTAGATATCTAACCGGACACTTTTGGAGAAATCAATGCCTATGTAACAGATGAATCTGCAATGTATTGCCCAATGACCGACTGAAGTACATACACAACGCACAAGTAACATGCACACCTGATTAACACACTGACACGGCTGCGTGTACCATGAACCTTCATAATTCAGTATGGCATGTGTTGTGATCAATATACTTAATGCACTTGTATGAAATAAATCTTTTCTGAAGCCAGGCATGGTGGCGCACACCTGTAATCCCAGCACTCAGGAGGCTGAGGCAGGAGGACCATTTAGAGTTCAAGAGTAGCCTGGGCTACTAAGTGAACTAAAGGACAGGCTAAACTACATAGCGAGATCCTGTCTCAAAAAGAGAAAAATTCTGAACTTCGGTTCCTGCACTTTCTGGTCCCTTTTCTGTAGACCATCCTTCCCAACTGTCATCGTTGTTGTTGTTTCTCCTGTCTTATAATAACAATTAAACTTGATTTAATGGAAACCTTGTGAAGCCCAGCCTGCAACAGGTCACGACTTGGGTGAAGGCTTCACAGAACAGAACCGCACGGCTGTGCTGCCAATGTACTGGGAGCAGACCATGCGGCCAGAAGCGCTCATGTAAGGATGCTGCTAGACACGCAGCATCAGGGCAAGTGGTTCTATGGAAAATGGAGTCACACGACTTCAGGCAGACCACTCAAGACCACGTTCTGGAAGAAGATGACATGGCTGTATTTGAATAAATGCTGATTTGTATACATCAGTAAGTCTAGATTTTTGTATAATGTAGATTGTTGTAAATGAAAAAATAAGACATTCCCTGAAAATAAGCCCTACTGTGTCCTCTGGAACAAAAAATTACATTAAGACCCAGTCTTACTTTTGGGGACATACATTATACACAGTTAAGAATCCCTGGCAAGAGGGGGCCGGGGCGATGGCTTGGTAGAACAAACGCTTCCCTGGCAAGCACAAGGGCCTGAGTTCAATTCCCAGTTCTACAAAAAAAAAAAAAAAACCTGGAAAGAGGGCCAGCCAGATAGCTCAGCAAACTAAAGTGCCTACTTAGGCAGAACATAGCAGCTGGGATTCGTTCCCTGGCTTGCCCTGCCGACCCAGCCCCCGGAGGCGCACTGAGACAGCAATTGAGACTGAGAGGCTGAAAACAGGAAGATTGCTACAAGTCCCATCTGTGTAGTGAGACCCTACAGCCCCTGTAGACCCCGTGCTAAATCCACGTGGCAGACAAGCAGTACCTCGGCACACCTCGGTTCACACTTACATCTTCACTCACGAACTTCTCGTAATCACCACTGAGCTTGTTTCTCATTTCATACACATATTCCTCCACCGCATTCTTGGCATCATTCCGCTCCTTCTCTAGCTTGTCCTGCATGATCATTTTACCCTGAGAACATACAATTCACTTAGACATTAGGACAACTAAGATAATTTCCTCTTAAATATTATTAACAAATATAATTTAAAAGTAGAGAACGCATCTCCCCCAAATGCTCTGAATTCTGAGTCATCAACACAAAGGACGGCTAGAAGACTAACCCTGGACAAGTTCTGAAGATAGAGAAGGAGCAGGGTGCTAGGCAGGCATGCTGCACACACCTCCACTGCCCATATTCCCAGCTGCTCAGGAGGCTGAGGCAGATGGATAGCAAGTGACACCAGTCTGAGCAATACAGCAACACTGTGTCTTGAAAGAAAGAAAGAAAATGAATGAATGAATGTGTGAATGAGA